ATTCATAGACACAGGGTACATCTATTTTTACCCACAATACTAATTTATACATCTTCATAATATTGCTCCAAGAAATGGTGGAAGAAATACTCATGTCACCTGATCTACATATACATTTTATCAGAGTAATATTCTGGTCAGAAAATGCAAAGATCACACTTATGTTTGTACCAAAGCCTAAATGGAAAATGAACATGGATTACTAAAAACATCCATGTCCAGGTTGCCTAATGCCCCCACTTGTCAATCTTGTTGGGGACTACATATTTGTTTCTTCCTAAGATTATGTATTCAAAGTCAATCCTATTGAAAATGTCTAATCCTATCACTCACTTTACCCTTTGCCTGATTTCCTAATGTCTCTATTGATATCTGCTTTCCTACATGTTTTCCACAGTTCATCATTGTGACTGACTCTTCACACGTGCTGACATTTACATTCACTCTCTAACCGAAACCCTATTGCTAAAGAACTTTTGGTCCAAATCCCATACTCACTCTTCTTTTTAAACTTACCAACTGTCTTCCTAATACTACCGACTATCCCTTTTTGCCTGGATGTTCTCGTCGACATTCAATCATCCAAGGTACAAGGTCCTATAACATTGTATGTCGATTTATCTGAGACATCTCTGCAGAACATAATTCAAAGCTAAGTTTCCCAATGAAGGGCCCAATGCCCTTCTCGGCTTCAAATCTTACCTAGATTTTGGTTTTCATACTTATATTCCACCTATATATTCTTGTAAATATCGCAGGTTCCCAATACCATTATTCATCCAGCAGAATGACTCCTCACCCAAATCGAACATGTTATTGACCCTAACCATACACTGTTCCCTCAATCTACCTTTACAGAAGAGCAGGGACAGAGTTGGTCTTACAATACAGGAATGTAGTGGATCTTCCACCTGCTGAGAACCTCAAAGGTCCAAGCAGAAATGATCCCTGGAGAAGTTGTAGGCAGCTATGTAGGACCAGAGAGTGCAAAAGTCTTCTTCCATGGCAAACAACCTAGTCAGGATGAAGGAATGTGTCTGAATCACCCTCTCTCTTCTTAATGTAGAGAATATGGATCAAACCAGGACTGTGTGGAGAGCTGTTCCTGCTTCCCTATGGTTGATATACCATTTTAACTTGTGAAAGTGTCACAGGAAGTAGGGCAGCCTCCATCTCATGGGACCCTTGGAAGCAACTGTTAGGACAAAGTGGATGCCAAGGCAGTGACTTCATTCAGTTCCTGAAGGAAGTGACCTACCTCACTTCCTTGGTGATGGAACTCTCTGAATTTGGGATCCAGGAAGCCAGGCACACAAAGCCAGTTCAAGTCCCAGTCCCAGTGGGCTCACATGTTTGGATTTACCAATGACAGAGTCAGTCTTTCTTGGTACCTACTGATGTGAGGATGGCCAAAGGCCAGGAGAGCTCTGAAGAGGGGACTTTCCTGAGAAAGCAGGTAGTGACTCACCGCTGGCCCCTGACAACTTCACAGATTTGACCAAGGAGACCAGATCTGAGACAGGATAGGCCATTTCACGGGTACATAGAATGGCCAATCAGTCAGAGAATACTCCAGATAGTCACAGACCTACTTGGGGGAAGGTGGTGCCTTTGTGGATGTGGGTGTGAGTTTGTGGTTTTGTCTCATGTTCTGAGAATAGGTAGGAAAGGCGGTTTGTTTGGTATGGAGTGGAGAGTTTCTAATAAGTTGTTTGACAAGGCAAGTGTTTCTATGTCGGTGTATACCACTGTGTCCGTGGTTGTAGACATTAGAAAAGAGAATGCATCAATTGATGTGTCCTGTCTAGTGGAAAGCTTCTCAGGATTAATCTTTCCTAATTTTATGAATGGACTGCAGCTTGACTTATCGATGGGCAACACCTACAATCTTCCTAAGTTCCTGATTTCTTCCTGAATTCTGGCCACTCTCCAGAATAGGCTCATGGTTTTGTGTCCAAGATATGTACCACCTCCAAGCTCTGTGACATGGCCATGTACTGGATAGCTGAAGAGAATCGGGAGCATCTCAGAAAACTCAGATATCAGTGTGACCAGTAAAGTCTCAGTGGAGAAACCCTGCTTTGGGCCTTTTGCTTACCTATTATTCTGTTGCACTGAATGTCAGAAAAGTCTTTGCCTCAGGCCACCCCTTTGTGAAGCCTGAAGAAAACAGTTTTCAAATGGAAATGAATGGGCATCACCTGTGGCTCTTTGATTAATTGCTTTGGAAATGGATGTGTCTGAATTAGCCTCTTTGTCTTGTGTGTGGCTGTGACTTAGATTATCAGCACTTGATTGATCTAAAGAAAAATCCCATGTGTGCATCCAAAACCAAAATTCAAAAAGATCAGTCATTTTGGATGAAGACTCTCGCCTTCCTCTGTTAGGTTCCTGACCTCTATCAAGTGAGAATAGGGATACTTTGGGTCAAATGAGTTCTTCAAAGCCCTGCAGATGTGCTTGGGTTTTCTCATGAATCCAAATCACATAAAAAATCTATACCTGACAGTCAGTAGTCCTCAAATTGGAGAAACATAGCAGTATAAAAAGCAGGCTTATTTAATCACTCCTGGTTCACAGGAAGGGTGTTTAGGCCACCCTGATTTTAGGCAAATGAGGGGCCAGGGAGCTTATTGTGGATACTGTTTCTGGCTGCGCCCCTTATGGAAACCTCCAGCCAGAGATTATGATAAGTGTCTATATGGAAGAAGATGAGGGCCATGTGGGAGTGTTTTGGTTTTAACTGTGTTCGTTTGTGTGGCAGTTGGAAGAGTTCACTGGGTCCACCTGGGCTTGAACTCTGTTGTGATTCCCCTTAGACACTGAGTTCTGGAACTGACCTCAGAGAAGTATTGCCATGAATTGTGTTGGGATTTTATGAGGCCACGCATGAGTGTCGCCCTTGGAAACTGAGATATAGGCCCAGGGTGGCTATCCAGAGAGCACTGGGAAAATTAGCCAGGATATCACAATATATTATTCTGAAAGACTTGGCAGCCATAGTTGAGATCAAATCACTCATGGACCTCAATTGTAGACCTCAATGGGCCTGGTTTCATGTGACCTTTTGGACACTCTTTGGGAAGCCTTGCCTGTGAGAGTTCTCCAGAGTTTTCATTGAAATGAGCTTCCTCACAATTTAATGGTTCCTGAATGAATTGAAACCCATAGTGCATCCAACTTCATTCCTGAAAAATGGCTGGATAAATACCATTAAATTTTTGGAATTCGCATGACCAGGTGGCATGCAGAACCTTTGGATGTCCTACTGCTGATCATGAGTGTATCAGACAGTGCCTTGATTGATTGGGTTTCATGAAAATGGTGTACAACAAAGATGCCAGTAAGATGGAGCCTGCTGAGTAGAGGGCCTAGAGCAGTGGTGGGCCGGTGTGTGATAAAACATCTGTGGTGGGGCCATGTTGATCTGCCATTGGATTCAAAATGTCTTGAGACAGACATGGTGCAGGCAGGAGACCATTATAAGTAAAGGCATCTTGTTATATGGAGAGGTTTCTATGGTCAAGGGGGCAAGCTATGTGGTATATAGGCCGGTTTGGTGCATGCTCATGCATCCCCTGACACCCCACAAGTGACAGAACTCCCTCCAGCACTGTGTCCCAGTTGAACTCCTTGTATTTTGTGAAGCAAATATCAAACTCTCAGTGCAGCATCAAGAAACACCAGGAAAAGTGGAGGACGACCAAATGGCTTCACAGTCCACACAGGGAGACAATTAGCCCCCAGTGGCCACAGTTTACCTACAAAGAGAGAATTCAGCACTGCTCCCTCATGTTCATTGGAAAATCAGAAACCATATCCTCCAGGTAACATAGATGCAGACCCAGCTTTGATAGTCTCACTACAAAGAAGCTAAAGCTCCTGACAACACCATATATTTACAGTGCCCAACCCAGAGGCAGTTTCTCAAGAAGTCTTTAGGCCCACAGAGCTCCATGATTGTGGAGTGTGTACCCTGTCCCTTACTTTTGGAAACTCCTCTACCACCTCCAGGGTTGTGAACTCCTGAGCATATTCCATTCCAGATATGTATTCAAAGGTTTTCTAACTCTTCTCCTCTAATGGGTCTTACTAGGGGAGACGGTAATGTCAAGGCATTGTTCTGGATGAGAGTGGCAAAATTTTTGTGTAGCACATATTTACAAACACATTGAATTTATTTTCCAATTTTCCAATTGAAATAATGAATCCCTGACACTAAACCCTACCCTATTCCACTCTGACTACTAATCCTAAAAAGATGGAGAAAAAATACCCAAACAGTATAGAAATACTAGCAGTTCAGAGGAGGCATGTTGTATAGTTGGATGGGCCTTTTGCATTATATAGGTTAGGAGTTATAAATCTAGTCATTTTTTTGTTGAAATAGTTCTCCATGTGTTTTTAAAGTTAACAAACATGTGAATTCCTGTCTCCTTTTCTATGTAGCCTATTCAGCACATGCATTTTTATATGCACATATAGAATCCTACCTGGTCCCACACGTACATTATTGTGAGGTGGCTGAATTTTCAGATACAAATTGTGAGAAGAGATCACTCCTCCTAAATGCTGTTGGAACTGAAAATTCAACCTATGTGTGAGCTTCCTGGTTAAACAAAATTATGTATAACTTGTTGGAATGAATGTATGAATATATGTATATCAATATAAGATTTCCTGTATTTTTTCAGATATCAATTCAATCCATTATTTAAAGTTGGAACTAGTTACATTATTTATTCACAGTATGGTCTATTCATGCATTATCTCTATATTCATAGACACAGGGTACACCTATTTGTACCCCCAATACTAATTTATACATCTTCAAAATATTGCTCCCAGAAATGGTGGAAGAAATACTCATGTCACCTGATCTACATATACATTTTATCACAATAATATTCTGGACACAAAAAGCAAATGTCACACTTATGATTGTACCAATGTAAAGGTCGTTCGAGCATCAGAGGAAGAGACCACCAAGAGACTGTCTCATGCAACAGCAAAGGGTTTGTTGGGGGTCCAACATTCTGGGGCTCAGAGCTCACTTGAATAGAGCAGAGAGCCCTGAGATCAGCTTAAGCAGAGCTTATATACTTTCCTTGGAGACGCCAGGGAGGGAAGTTTGTTGATGGGTCTGGGCGAGTGGGTGGTTTGCGTGCAACCAGGTGAGGGAGTACATTCTGCAGTTTGGCAGTTGGGGACTGCACATTCTGGGAATAAGATTAGCAAACAGTTCTCAAGATTTCAACAGTGTTTTGTTAAGTATACAGAAAAACAGGAAGTGACAAATACCTATTTTATTAACCTTTCATTCCCCACTTCTTCTGGTTACTTTTAATCATAAAAGTGATCATTGGACGGTGTTACATTTTATGTCTGCTAGTGGGGTATGTTGTTGTCTGATTACCAAAAGTTTAACTTGTCCAATTTGAGCTTGGAGAAATGAAACTACACGTTGGAGCAAGCAATGTCCTACAGTTAGCAATAAATAAGGATTATTAAAGGACCGGCCAGGGCTGATAAAAGTGTAGTTAACCAGGGGGACTATGTTAACAAAGACTCAAACCACCCTTTTTGGGCCTCTCTCTCTCGTTGATGCTCTTCAAGGCGTCTTCTTAATTTACTCATAGATTCTTTTACAACCAGTATGGTAGTCATAAAAACAACATTTTTTCCCTCAATGCAGCATAAAGGCCCCCTTTTCTCATGAAAAGGAGTTCTAACCCTTGCCTGTTCTGTAAAACAACTTCAGAGAGAGAGGTTAAAGATTCCTGTAAAGTTGTGATGGAGGTTATTAATATCTTTAAGTTTTGGTCTATTGCTGCTTCTAATTGGGTGATTTGTTGTGTCCCATGGACTAGGGCAGTGGTTCCTGTGCCCAACCCTGCAGCAACTCCTATTCCTAATAGGATGGCTAAAGTGAGGGATACAGGTTTCTGGCAGAACTGGGTTGTATGCCCCCCTATTTGAACTTTAAATGATCCTGCGTCATGATAGAGCACTCTGGGAAACATCTACACTATTACATAATTAATCACATCTGTTGACCATTTTATGAAAACATACACAGTGTTTAAGTATATAGAATTATATTGTTGTAGGTATGGATAAGGATAAGCACCTAAGATAGAACGGAAGACAGGGAAACAGTCCTATTTAGTTGCAACCTGATTTAGAAGGCATTGCTTCTGTTGTAATCAATTAATTCCCTGAACCCAAAGTTTAGGTAGTTTCAGAATTTTGTACCCAACATGTAAGTGAAGGGGCTCAGAAGTTCACAGTCTGCAGAAGTTCACAAAAAGCAGTTTTTATTTCTGTTTTTTTTTTTCCTCTGTTCTGGGCAAGTTACATTTTTAAGGACACCTAGGAGGGGGAGAGCTTTTTTCTTCTCTTTTTTTTTCTCCCTGCCAGCTGTTACCAAAGGAGCCCAGTTGGTAACTTATTTATCTTAGAAATGTAGCCATCTCTGTGAAGCCCCAGCTCAAGGCCAGGGGCCTTGTTCACATATTTTGTGAAAAACTAGTAAGGGGGGTGTCTAGCTTAGGAGTGCTGATTTTTCCAGCCAGTGCCCAAGTAGAACAGGCAACATGAAAACAGGAAGTTTATCTACATTGAACTCGTTTATAGGGACTCTTTTGCTGAAAGTCCTAAAGTCAGCCATGGTGAAGACATCTGGAGAAGGTCAGTTAAGACTTTTCTGTGGGCCGGGTACAGAGGGGGAAGACGGGGAAGGTGGGGTGTGAGAGAAGCTCCGTGGATCTGAGTATGAGGAAGGAGAGATGTAAAAGAATAATAGGAAAGGGGTTTGGGATTTTCCTAGCAACAAAAACTTGAACAGTAGAACAGATAGAGCCCAGGGGAAGATGGGAGTGAGTATCCCAAAAAGCCTGTGAGGGACTTTAAATTCTTAGTAACCTGTTTTCAGTGATGACAAAGCAACTTTAAAGGACATTTTCATTACATCTTGGATAGAGGTCTGAGGGTTCTCCTCAGCTGGTTTGAGCTTTGGGTTAGCTGGTAAGTGGACCTGGTGGGACCCGGTGCGTGCACTGACAGGAGAAGAGAGGAGTGAGTGGGTGGAGGGGTGCCTCAGTACCTGATACCTCAGCAAGGGGGCAATGGTCTGAGAACCGGCCGAGGTTTGGGTTTTTGATATGGTAATTGGAGGGGAGAAATCAAGTTGCTGAGGTGGGAGTGACAGCAGAGAGTCTGGAGCAGAAGGCTGAGGGTGAGGATCTATTGGAGAAGCATAGTTCAGGATGTGTGCGAAGGAGGGAAAAGGCCTCCACATAGGGGTATCTCCATTCACCCTTTTGAGCACTTGCAGAAGTTAAAAAGGTCACACAGAATTTGAAGATCCAGAGACCCATCTGGGGGCCATCGGTTTTCGTTCTCTAATTGGTAATATGGCCAATGCTGTGTACTGAATTTGATGAGCAGTTTGGGTTCCACCAGGTACCCCCAGTATGCTCACATCCCCATGACTTACAGAAGAAGTCGGCTTTTCCCCCACACAGCCATGGCTGTTTGTGGCTTTGATAGTCTGCCGGGCAGACATAGTAATCTAGGATAGCCAACCTGCATCTGGTAGCGTGTCCCTACATCCATAATGTTTGTTTCCATTATCTATGGTACAGAAGGTATTTAATGGAATTTTAGTGGGATCCTCTTCATTTAGGATATCCCAATAGGAAAGACCTGTAGCCATCTGACAAATATCTGGGTGGAGAGATGGCCAGCAGACCCCTAAGGGGGCTGTATGCTAGATAGACCATACTTCTTGTCTAGTAGGATTTGTGATCAGCCATTGCTGCTGAATGGGCTGATGAGGGTTAGGACTACTGGTGGCCAAGGGGACAGTTTATAGCCCTATCCACATGGTGAATACGCAATTTGAAAGGGTTACCAGTCTTTTCCAGTTTCCAGCCAGAGTCTGGACAGGGCACAGGCTTGAGATGAGAGGCATGGATCCAGGAAGTGATTCCGTCTACCTTTACCACTGTAGGTGTTATAAGTAGCACCTGGTATGGTCCTTTCCAGCGGGGTTGCAGGGATGACACCTGATGACGTCTTATGTAGACGAAGTCTCTTACTTGATATTGATGTGGAGTCCCCTCGTCCCCAGGTTGGTAGGCAGTGGCCAGCTGTTTCAACAGGTATCACTGAGTTCTTTCGAGAGCTTTTAGTCTGTCAAGCAAGGGGGTGTGGAAGGGATCGTTAGGTCTTAGAGTTGGGGTTAGGTCCCTTACTGGAGGAGGGGCACCATAGAGAATTTCATAGGGGGATATGTTACACAAAGAAACAGAGGGAGAATTTCTTGCGTGAAACAGTGCATAAGGCAGGAGCATAGTCCAATCTCTTATGCTGGTCTCTAAGCTTAATTTCTTTAAGGTCTCTTTAATGGTTCTATTTATTTTTTTACCTGTCCTGAGCTCTGGGGTCTATAAGCACAATGTAACTTCCAATTAATCCCCAGGGTCCTGACTAACCCCTGACTTACCTGGGCCATGAACGCTGGTCCATTATCAGACCCTATTACCTTAGGCAGGCCGTATCTTGGAAAAATATCTTTCAGGATACTCTTGACCACCATTTGCACCATTGTTTTTTTTTTTTTTTTTTAATTTTGTGGGAAAGGCTTCAATCCATCCTGAAAATGTATCTACAAAGACTAGGAGATATTTAAGTCCATACTTTGCTGGCTTAATTTCAGTAAAGTCCACTTCCCTGAATTGTCCTTGTCTGGTTCCTCATAGGTGCTTTCCTGCAGGAAGTTTGGAAGGGTAAGCATTAACCAATTGACAGACCCGACAGGCTTTTATTACCCGTTCAGATATTTCCTTTTGCTGTAAGTCGGTTAGTCTAAAACTCTGTTCTTGATCCTTCAGGAATGCCTGCAGTTTCTTTGAACCAAGGTGAGTGAGTTGATGTACATTTTTAAAGTAGTGTAGGGCTTTCTGTAATTGCAGGCTGGGCTCAGTGAAGTTGAGGAATTCAGTGTCAGTGTCCTTAGATGTTATCAAAAGCTTGCTGGTGCTCAGGGGTCCATTGGAATTGAGCATCCTCATTTAACAGCGGGTATAAAGGAGCAGCTAAGAACACAAACCCAGGTATCCATAACCTGCAAAAGCTAGCAGTCCCAAGAAACTCTCTGAGTTGTCTCCTGTTAGATGGGGGTGGTATCTGCACAACGGTTTGTTTTCTGGGCTCAGTGAGCCATCATTTACTGCCCCTAAGGGAATACCTCAGGAAGATTACTTCTTGCTGGCAAATTTGGGCCTTTTTGTCAGAAGCTCTATTCCCGAGTTGAGCAAGCTCAAATAATAGTGCTTGGGTTGCAGACTCAAAGTTTTCCTTGGTGTTGGCTGCCAGTAGCAGGACATCCACATATTGAAGCAGGGTGACTTCAGGGTGCGTAGTTCTGAAGTTGTTGAGATCTCTGGGGAGGGCTTCATCAAAGAGAGTGGGGGAGTTTTTGAACCACTGTGGGAGTCTAGTCCAAGTTAGTTGACCAGACGTTCCGGTTTCTGGGTCTACCCACTCGAAAGCAAACAGCAACTGAGTATCTTTATACAGAGGCAAGCAAAAGAAAGCATCTTTTAAGTCCAGAACAGTATACCATTTTCACTCAGCAACAACAAATGGTTTATTGGGGCTCCAGCATCCTGGGGCTCAGAGCTCACTTGGATAGAGCAGAGAGCCCTGAGAACAGCTTAATCAGAGCTTATATACTTTCCTTGGAGAGGGCAGGGAGGGAAATTTATTGATGGGTCAGAGCGAGTGGGCGGTGTGCGTGCAAACGGGTGAGGGAGTACAATCCTCAGTTTTGCAGTTGGGGACAGCACATTCTGGGAACAAAATTAGCAAACAGTTCTCCAGATTTCAACAGTGTTTTGTTAAGCATACAGAAAAACAGGAAGTGACAAGTACCTATTTTATTAACCTTTCACCAAAGCGAAATGGAAAGTGAGCATGGATTACTAAAACAACCATATCCAGGTTGCCTAATGCTCTCAAATGTCAATCCTATTGGTGACTACATATTTGTTTCTTCCAAAGATTATATATTCAACCTCAACCATGTTGAAAATTTCTAATCCTGTCACTCACTTTATACTTTGCCTGATTTCCTAATGTCTCTATTGATATCTGCATTCTTACATATTTTCCCCAGTTCATCATTGTGACTGACTCTTCACATGTGCTGATACTTATGTTCACTCTCTATCCGAAACATGATTGCTAAAGAACTTTTGGTCCAAATCCTATACTCACTCTTTTTTCTAAACCTACCGACTATCTTCCTAATCCTACTGACTATCCCCTTTTGACGGGATGTTCTCTTCTACATTCAATCATCCAAGGTACAAGGTCCTATGCCATTGTATATCAATTTATCTCGGACATCTGTGCAGAACGTAATTCAGTGCTAAGTATTCCAATCAAGGGCCCAATGCACTTCTGGGCTTCAAATCTTACCTAGATTTCTGTTTTCATATTTATATTGAAAGTTTAAAAAAATAGTGGTTGCCAAGGAAGTGACCTCATTCAGTTCCTGAAGGAATTGACCTACCTCACTTCTTTGGTGATGGAACTCTCTGAACTTGGGATCCAGGAAGACAGGAACACAGAGCCAGTCCAGTCCCAGTCCCAGTGGGCTCACTTGTTTGGATTTACCAAAGACAGAGTCTGTCTTTCTTGGTACCTACTGATGTGAGGATGGCCAAATGCGAGGAGAGCTCTGAAGACGGGCCTTCCCTGAGAAAGCATGTAGTGGTCAGCACAGGCTCCTGACAACTTCACAGAGTTGGACAAGGAGACCAGATCTGAGACAAGACAGGCCATTTCGGGGGAACATAGTATGGCCCACCAGTCAGTGGACACTCTGGATAGTCACAGAGTTACTTGGGGGAAGGGGGTGCCTTTTTGAGTGTGGGTGTGAGTTTGTGGTTTTGTCTCATGTTCTGAGAATAGGTAGGAAAGGCGGTTTGTTTTGTTTGGAGTGGACTGTTTCTAGAAAGTCATTTGACAAGGCGAGTGTTTCTATGTCAGTGTATCCCACTGTGTCCGTAGTTGCACACATGTGAAAAGAGAATGCAACAATGGATATGTCCTGTCTAGTAGAAAGCTTCCCAGCATTCATCCTACCCAATTTATGCATGGATTGCAGCTTGCCTTATGAATGAGCAACCCCTACTATCTTCCTAAGTTCCTGTTTTCTTCCCGAATTCTGGCCACTATCCAGAATAGGCTCATGATTTTGTGTCCAAGATACGTACCACCTCCAAGCTCTGTGACATGGCCATGTACTGGATAGCTGAAGGGAATGGCGAGCATCTCAGAAAAATCAGATATCAGTGTGACCAGTAAAGTCTCAGTGGAGAAACCCTGCTTTGGGCCTTCTGCTTACCTATTGTTCAGTTGCCTCAGGCCACCCCTTTGTGAAACCTGAAGAAAACAGTTTTCAAATGGAAATGAATGGGCATCATCTGTGGCTCTTTGCTTAATTGCTTTGGAAAGGGATGTGTCTGAATCAGCCTCTTGGCCCTGTATGAGGCTGTGGCTTAGATTTTCAGTGCCTGATGTATCTAAAGAAAGATCCAATGTGTGCATCCAAAACCAAAATGGCAAAAAGCTCAGTCATTGTGGATGAAGACTCTTGCCTTCCTCTGTTAGGTTCCTGACCTCCATCAAGGAAGTATAGGGATTTTTTGGGTCAAATGTGTTCTTCCAAGCCCTGCAGAGGTGCTTGGGTTTAGTCATGACTCAAAATCACATAAGGAATCTATACCTGACAGTCAGTAGGCCTCAAATTGGAGAAGCAGAGCAGTATTAACAGCAGACCTATGTGATCAATCCTGGTTCACAGGAAGGGTGTCCAGGCCACTCTGAGGTTATGCAAATGAGGGGCAAGGGAGCTTATTTTGGACACTCTCTTGGGCTTCGCCATTCAAGGAAACCTCCAGCCAGAGGTTATCATGAGTGACTATATGGAAGAAGATGAGGGCCATGTGGGATTGTTTGGTTTTAATTGTGGTCATTTGTGTGGTGGTTGGAAGAGATGACTGGGTCCACCTGGGCTTGAACACTGGTGTGATTCTCCTCAGAGTCTGAGTTCTGTAACTGACTTCAGAGTAGTAATTGCTTTGGAAATGGATGTGTCTTAATCAGCCTCTTGGCCCTGTGTGATGCTGTGGCTTACATTATCAGCACCAGATGGATCTAAAGAAAGATCCCATGTGTGCATCCAAAACCAAAATGGCCAAAAGAGCAGTCAGTGTGGATGAAGTCTCTTGCCTTCCTCTGTAAGGTTCTGAAAGAATAAAAGAAATTGAAATTGAAATGTAAAGAACCAGGTTTTGTAAAGTTTCCAAGCTGCACTCAGAACCTGAAATTCCTGTGGCAGTTAAGACAATTCCCGGATCTGCCCATTAGATGTGTGTTGAAATCTTCCCTGACCAGCTAGCTACTTAACAACCCCTTCCCAGAAACTGTGCAGCTCAGCACGTATACATCTCAGGGCTTCAACCAATCAGTTTAAATGTATACCCTTCTTAGGGCTGACCAATCACCCCCTGCCCGACCTGTTCCCTCCAATGAATGTGCTAATCATGTTTTAGAGTTGTTATTTGATTTTCCCGTGGTATATGATGATTTGCTAAAGGAGGTTATGATGTATGTAAAGTCCCTTCCCTCTCTAAAGAATGTATATCAACTCTGCTCAAGTTGTTCTTGGGGCTCTTTGTTCTTTGCTCCTCTGAAGTGAGCTCTGAGCCCCAGCATGCTGGACCCCCAATAAACCCTTTGCTGTTGCATGAGAAAGTCTCTTGGTGGTGTTTTCCTCAGATGTTCGCCCCACATTTTCATGTGGAGGCCCTAGGTGAGATATCACGAAGCAGCGGATGAAAGACCACAAAGGACTCCTCTCAGGGTAAGTAAGGCACCTCTTTCTGGTTTCGGGTTTCAGGTTAGGGCATGGCAAAGTGGCTGTTGGTGAAGAGCATTAGCTCTCTCCTATGGTGTGACAGACTTGTCACAGAGCCAAAGGTCACATCCCTGGGGGACACTCCAGAGGACTAGGGAAATCAATGAATAGTAGTTTCCTCAACTCGGTTATATTTTGCTTCAGGATTCGGTTTGCCAGCCCATCAGGTTTGGCTGGCTACTCAGTTTTGTTCATTGTCTTGAACTCATGTTGAGTTTACTGTATGTCTTTATTGTCTAACCCATCAGGTTTTGCCAGTTACTCAGTTCTAATCTTTGTCTTGGAATCAAGTTAAACATTTACTGTTTGTCTTTGTCTGTGTTGAGTTTTTGTCTTCACTGTTGCTCTTTGAGTAACTCCCATTATGGGACAAAGCACTTCCACGCCTCTGTTCCTGACCCTTGATCATTGGACTGATGTCCGCTCAAGGGCCCAGAATCTTTCTTTTTCAGTAAAACGCCAGACCTGGCCGATTCTCTGTGCTTCAGAATGGCCCATCCTCGGAGTTGGGTGGCCCCCAGAAGGATCCTTCTACTTCCCTCTAATCCGAAGAGTCAGAGATATTGTCTTTCAGCCGGGGCCACGTGGCCACCCAGAACAACAGCCATATACCCCTTCCCCCATGATCATATCATTCAAACCTTCTGCTCCTCCCCCTCTTCCCTCCATTCTCCCTGAGTCACAAGACTGGACACTCCTCCCCCTCCTTATCCTCTACCCTTGCTCCCCAACCCCCAACACGTTACAGATGATCCTCCCACTGCTGACTCAGCCTCTCCGCCGCTAGAGGCAATTGGGCCAGACCCAAACCCTCCAGGGGACTTCTCCACAGCAGCAGCAGCCCCTCCTCCCCTGGAGGAAGCTGGGCCACCTAAAGGAACCCTCCGGCGATGGATAATAGAAAACTCGGAAGCCCCTGTGATACTCCCTCTCCGTCCCTATGGTTGCTATGGTCAAGGGGACAAGCTATGTGGGATAGAAGATTTGTTGGTGCATTCTCCTGTAGACCCTGACCCACCACACCTGACAGAACTCCTTCTAGCACTTTGTCCCCTTTGAACTCCTTGTATTTCATGAAGCAAATACCAAACTCCCAGTTCAGCAGCAAGAAACACCACAAAAACTGGAGGATGACCAAATGGCTTCACAGTCCACACGGGGAGACAATTAGCCCCCAGTGGCCACAGTTTCCCTACAAAGAGAGAATTCAGCACTGCTGCCTCATGTTCATTGGAAAATCAGAAACCATGTCCTCCAGGTCACATAAATGCAGACTCAACTTTGATGGTCTCACTACAAAGGAAGCTAAATCTCCTGACAACAACATATATTTCAAGGGCCCAACCTCATAGGCAGTTTCTCAAGAAGTCTTTAGGCCATCAGATCTCCATGTTTGTGGAGTGTTTACCCTATCCCTTACTTTTGGAAACTCCTCTACCTCCTCCAAGGTTGTGAACTCCTGAGCATGTTCCATTCTAGATATGTATTCACATATTTTCTAACTCTTCCCATCTAATTGTGTCTTACTTGGGGCGAAGGTAATGTCAAGGCATTGTTCTGGATGATAGTGGGAAGACTGTTGTGTATCACATATTTGCATATGCATTGGATTCATTTTCTGCTGAGAGCCACGGCCAAGTCTGTATGGCCCCTGGCATTTTGCCAACAGTATTGATTGACAGGCGAGGCATTACTCTCCACCTCTACCGCTACTTTTGTGTTCTCTCACTGTTTTGGAGTTCTCGAAGGGATTTCTGGGGATTC